GCAGGGCTGTGAACTGCGCCGTGTAATCTACAAGATGGCTATCTCAGTTCAACCCTCTACAAATGTGGAACACTTCGTTTAAGGATGGGGGAAGCGATATATCACCAGGTTTCGGCACTGGAACCCCGTGTGACTGGACTTGTGAGGCCCGAAAACAAAAGTCCGACAAGCAGGTTGACATGAGAACATGTGCAAGTGACTGTAAGTACAACTGATGGGCCGCAGTTCAATTTTTAGCGTTGAAACGAGGCCGGAGGTGATTGATGGAGGCAGCGACAGGGCACTCGCGCTCCGCATGGATGGTCAATGGCCATGGTGGCCGAGGCCGGTAGCACGCGCTTCGGTGCGGCGGCTCGTTCATTTACTTACGTCCGGGCTATCTTGATTTGGCCGTTGGAGGCGGCCGCAAGGATCAGAGCTGTCATTTTTTAAGCTGGCATGCCCACGCCAGCTGACATCCAACTTCAAAAGCCCGCATCCGCCCCGCAAGGTAGGTGTCCCCCAAAAAGCCTGCACGAACCGCAAACTTATTTTACATTCTAGGTAAACACACCCAACTCTATATCAGTATTAGCGCTAAAGCAAGAAGCTTTCAGAAACCACAGAACATCTTGGTCTCTTCCTTTATGCCTTTTTGATGGCCAACATCAAAACCGCCGATTTTAATTTTAGGTCACATACTTAGCCTAATTAATATGAGGGCCACAACGAGAATATCTTAATCCACAAACATTTATTCATACAGCCTGCTATTTATGGACTGACATGGAGTAAGACAGTTGGCCCTTATTCATGCCAAGATCTGAAACTATGACTCATTTTGAAGACACTGCTGGATATTTAGTGACGAACCAACGCATACAATGCCCTTTGTCCCATATTTTTTTCTTCGTCCAAGAGAAAACCTTCCTGGTCCTTCAGAAGGCTGCTCATGATAGATAAGAAATTAAACAAATCAAAACAGTACGAGAATGCACATACCAAGACTGACTTTACATTTACGCTGGTTCGGATGATGACTTCAGTCCTAAATAAGTATGCATAAAGGCATTCCTTATGTAACACAACTTGGTCGTCCCGAACCCAAAGATAGTAGGTGCTTCAAACAAGCAAAGTGGTCAAACAAAGTGGTCAACTTCACAAAGAGAGAAACGCTGTGGTATGCATACTGAGAAATGGAAAGCCTCACGCATAACTATATTCCTTAGGATGAACATCCAAACATTGCGCGTGTCATCATGCATCACAACACCATTTTCGGTTCCATAACAGAAGGTATCCTGAAGGTATCCACCAGATGGCCCTGCAAGCCATTGAGTGTTTGCATGTGGCGTGTGTACTCTGTGAGCTGTGATTTATTTGGCAAATGGTGTCAAATTCCCCGGAGTGTAGTTTGCAGCCTACTTATAAGTTTCGGGAGGGCTGAGCAAGGGCAAATGGCTAACCGCATATTAAGTTGTTGGAGGCTGGAGCTAGAGCACACTGACGGAGAAAAGCTACACCCCTGGCAGACTCGGCCCGTAACGTGGGATTATTGCAAAATGGCTCTTGCTGTTTGTGTTAAGATTGCATCGCCCCGGAATGTGTAGTGAAGTGCCTGACCTAACATTTGACAGCTTGTAAGCCATGCAAGTCTACCTTTAAAGCTAAAGCATGCCATCAATTATACGTTCATGAAATGACACGCACGGCATAGTTGGACAACTTATAATGAATGTAACTGCCGTACATCTGTAACTTTCCATAGGGCTCCGTAGCGTTGGAAGCGACGTCTCCGTCTTGGACGGGGCAACGGCCGAAGGCGCGTGCGTAGCGGTGGGAAGCTGCGAGCGGTGGGCGTGGTCGAAGGAGTGTGAGCCGCCCCATCACGGATGAGACGCGAGGGGGCGTCGTCAAAACAGAGAGCCGTCGCCCTGGAGGTCAGGCGAGGGAACAAGCCGCCGCTCAGCTGTGGCGCACCTCAGGCCGGCCCGTCAGGCCGCGTCAGCGCCAGGCTCATAACAAACTGACCTGATGTGTTTTAAATAAGGCATAAACAGGGCCTCATTGGATGATTGAAGTACATAAAAAGATTTAGTTAGTTCAATGGGGACTAACGCAGCCGTGACAATTAGGCCCTAGAAAGTGGTCCTTACCGGGCCAAGAAGAGCTGGGTAACGTGGGCGTCAGCGGATGTGTATACTTGGAATGAATGTGGTGGGGCGCCGAATGCATGAAGTCTGTGTAGGACGGGGAGGGGGAGGGGGCGTGGAGGGGCTGACAGGGTTGATACCAGTGGACCCCTTCCCAATGTAATTTCCCTGGTTGCGTGGAATCCTCGCCCAATTTGGGCGAATCAGGGCGGTTAATTTATCTCGATGCGCCTGGTGCCGTTTTTGCCCGGCCAAAATAAAATAATCAGCCAAACGGTGGAGGTGGGATACCGTGGTCAAGGGCACACAACCATACACGGTGAGACAGTCGTCCATGGTGCCTTACCGAACATACCCTCCCGCCAATATGCCGGCTATCCACTTCACCCTAGGATTGTGGCTTACAGGTGTGTGTTGATGTCGGCTTTGTACCGAAGTTTACACGTTCTCAGTCGTGCGCTAACATCATTCGGTTCGCATGCTGACGGGTTCAAGGTGTGCGTCTACTGCCAACGTTGTGGTTGTAACCACCGATCCCGACTAATCACAAGCACCTGACATATTACCATTTATGAGTTTTATCTTAGGTCGTAACACTATGAAATGAAACGCTGGATCAGCGATAATGCGCAGAGGAGGTGCCTTCAGCTGGTACTCAGCGCTTGCTGAGCTTGCCTTCGAGCCAAACTTTGCCAC